GCTCCTAAAACCCTACCCTGTTCAAAAATGTGCGAGTAAACCCCTGTAAGAACTTCAGTTACAGGTCTTACAACATCCTTAGCCGACCTTGACATCGCCTAGGTAAAGGCCCCTCTTCTTGTTTTCAACCCCATGGACAACCCCAGTTCTGTTCGAAATCCCGGCTTCCAAAGGGTAGTTCTCCAAATTAGCGTCCCTTTTCAGCCTGGCCCTACTAAACCCCAAACCGTGACCATAATGTAGAGAGCCACCCCGCAAAAGCAGGCGAGGAGGAGATGTCTGAAGATGACATGCACGAGCCGTGATCTGCACAGGGAGGTGGAGGGAGCTCGGAGCCACATGGGAGGGTTTTAGGGTATAGGGTTCAGGGGTTTAGGGCTATACGGCTTAGAGGTTTAGGGTTTGGGGTTTAGGGTTTTGGGTTTAGGGCTTAGGGTTAGGGTTTAGGGTTTAGGGGTGCGTGGGAGAGGTTCTGAAAAGCATAGTAGGGTGGAGGGTCGTTTAAGCGGTTTTGTGGAAGTCGATAGGGGTTTACAAAGATTTTTCCATAATTCATGAGGTTATGTGTTGCTTCTGATTAAGGGTCCTGTATTTGGGGTCTGTATAAGACGAATCCTAATTGAATTGTTTACGGCTGATACCAAGCCCTGTAAGCCCAAAGCCGTCAAGACTTTCAAACCCCAAACCGTTAGGCACATGGCCAAGCCCGAAACCCCGTAGCTCCACAGTCTAAGTGCTCGATTCCACAGCTTCAAAGTCATCCCGGCCATGAACCTCACCCCAGTGCCGAAGGCACGCAGGGAGTTTCTCGAATTTAGGGGTGCCTGAGGGTTTAGGGTTTTGAGAAATGGGCAGTTTGAATAGGTCTGGATGCAAAAACAGTCTTAATGCTTCAGGATTGAAGTGTCCGGGTTTTCTTCCATAGCTGCGAAACGTTCTTTCGGGATCAGGTGCCCCTGATTTTGAGACGTTGCCATTTATCGCAGAGCAATGCTTGGGGGCATGCTTCGCATGTACAGTCGAGGGCGCCCTCGGACCAAAAAACTGTAAACTGCACGCTTGGCGTGCCCATGTACAATGTACACATACACACATACATACACACATGCTTGAGTGCATACATGCAGATATGCATACATCCACACATGCATACATGCGTGAATTACATACATGCATACATACATGTGCGCGCACACACAAACACATATATACAGATATACGCACTGTACACACATGCATTGATGCGTGCATATACCCACATAGCAGATACGCGCGTGTGTGTGCGCGCGCCTCCGATCTGACATTGCTCTCAGTATTCGCACCTATGTTTTTCGGAGAGGCACTGGCGAACACTGTGAATCACGTTGCAGGCTTTAGTGCCGCCTTCTAGTTGCTTTTGTTACATTGGCTGTTCTCTGTGCAACCTCAGTTGTTCACCGCCAGGAGATGCTGTGCATGCTAAAGCAATTGCGTATGTCCAGCGTGTGCCATTTCTGCTTCCTCCTTGCATGCATAGTTATGCATATACGGTATTCATTACACCGGCAGCCGACACCTATTGGGGACGTGGGTGAATGGACTCCGATATGCCCCGCGCACAGCAAATTGCGGCTGAAAGTTGAAGTGGTAGCGAGACAAGTTACTTCGGAAAGGCCAGGCAATCGTGCATGTGTGGCTTAAGGTCACAGAGCTTTCCGACCAAAGCTTTTGTTGAACGATTTCGGGATCGGGGAGCCCACCGCCCCTTCAAATAAACCCAACTCAAGCTTGAGTGCGTCTGAGTACTGTCTGACATTTGTTGAGTTTCCCTTGCTTCTTTGGGGGGCGGGGCTGGGCTCTCGTCCTGTGACCTGGATTCTTAGTCCCTTTGCGCACATTGCCTTCCTTGCCGACGCCATGGTTCTGCTCGAAGCTTTTGGTTTGGCTTCCAAGGAGCTTTCTGGCAAAATCCAAAGCCCTCCATAAGGGTTCTGCTAGGGAGTTCTGCTATGAGTGCACCGAAAGAAGGAGGAGGCTCTTACAAGAGGAGTATTGCCGCTTGCCGCAGCCCTAAACTCCTAAACCCTTCGTGCGGAGCAGTTGTCTGGACCACCAAAGCCGGCAAAAGCAGGCAGTAACCCTGAACCGCACTCAAGCGTTTTATCTGAAAGCTGAACAGTGTTCCCCCAAACCCTGCTCGGTGTTCTTCGTGCTCTTGATAGGTGTTGTCTCACTTTCAACCCGACTTTCAACCACAACTTTTCAGAAATCCTTGACATAGAGGTTCTGAATATTTGCCATAGCATCCCCTGATCATCCCAAAATCCCCCAAACCCTATTCTGATGATGAAGGCCCCAGGTTCATAAGTTTGAAGCATGAACTGCGATTGTGGCCGTACTTGTACTCACGTACTGAGCCCGTGATGTTCCCTGACACCAACCTGAAAGTGCATACCTTTGAACACGAATTCATGAACCCGAAAACCCCAAATCCGAAACGCCATGCCCTGAACCACGACTTCGTCGTAGGAGCTCTTCGACTACAACCGGGAGAACTACAAGTTTGATCAGGAGCAGCGCTTGGAGAGGGACATGCAAAGGCACGCTGCAGTGAACTGAGTGTGCTGATAGGAGGCCTAAACCCCGACCCTACATGGGGATTTCCGAAAATGGGTCCTTATTCAGTACCCAGAATACGAGGATCCTTATTATAAGGATCCCAAAATACGGTACCCCGTATTTTGGGAAACTCCCGTCTGCGCTTTGTTTTGGTTGGTTTTTCCGGAGGGGTCAGCCGAATACGAGGGAATCTCGAATCAAACTCCAGGGTCTTCTCAGCCCCTTCCGGCTCTGATTCGCGTACTTGTAGGTTGAGCCCTAAGCCCTAAACCGTGTTTGAAGCGCAGGGGGTAAGTAGCTGTTTTATAGCTTTGTAAGTACCCTCCAAGAAATCCTAATTGAGGCTGCGATGCTTATACCCTTTTCAGGTGAGTACTTACTAAGTCCCCCGGGTCCTTCAAGTAGGAACCGTCTGCAAGACAGGGATGCTAGCCACCGGGTTAAGGAGTTTAGGGTTTAGGTTTCCTGGGTTCTTGTTTAGGGGTTTTAATACAAGTTACCATGATAAGGAAACCATAGTGGTAATTGAAAGTAAACCCCTTAACAAGAACCAAGTTTCATGGTTTAAGCAGGAAGCCTTAAATTAAAGCCAACCGGTGTAGTGCAGGGTGGAGATGCAAATTGAGCGCTTCGACCTCTTTCGAGAAGACATCGAGGATTTGGTCAAGCTCACAGTGGACAAGATGGCGACCTGATGTTGGATTCGGCCATCTCAAGTTCATGCCTTTTTCTCGGTGGTAGGTTACGGATTCCAAAAGAAAAGAGTGTTAAGTTCGTGGTTGTGCCGAGGGGTTTCTGGCCGAACCAAGGCTGTAGGCTTAGTGTTGAGGTCTGGCCTGTTTGCTTCAATGTGAAGCCATGGCCTTTAGCAGAGCCCGCCCTCCCAGGGTAGCCGAGCCAAGCATTTCGTGTAGGACTCGGGGTACTTCTTCGCGGCTTATGCTCAAGGGCTTAAAAAATGTCGCCAAGGGTCAACTTTTTCGGGTTTTCAAGCGTTTTCTTGGTTTTGGCAGGGCTCTTCGGGTACGGAGCATAGGGTCCTGGTGCTGGTCTTGCGAGCCTTCGTCTCATTCTAAAACCTTTAGACCACGAGCCCTAAGTCCCGACAGCACGAAATTCCAGATACGCTAAAGACACCTAAAGGAGACCTGAAGAAAAGATTCTAAAGACAAAAAAACTCCAAGACATGCTCAAGCTGCCAAATTCGACGGCCGGCTTACTAAGGACATGTATCACATCGTGGGTGCTTTGTTTCTCAGTTTCACCGCCCTCGTCTACTGCGAGGGCATCATCAACGGACCCCAGCCGCCTTTCTTCTTGGGGCAGTGGCTTGGACGGCTTAGCATCTTCGGGTTAAGCCCTAAACCTCAGGCTTCAACCCCCAATCCCTAAACTCTTGAAGCCTTTAAGCCCTATGTAAAGTTTTCAACCCTCAAGCCACAAGACCGAAGCTGTAGCGCCCTGCATGCCAAAGCAAGCATTCAAGAGGAGCACCCTAGACCCTTCACACCCAAGCGAAGAAGTTGAACGCACTATCGTCCGCCTCGCCCGGCCAGGTAATATAGCGGCCAAAGTAATTAGAATAGGGTCTTGGGGTATATCATACAATGATCATGATAAGGAACCAGGTAATTATTAAGGCCCCTAGATTAGTCTCCACATCAGGGCCAGGGTGGCGGGACTGACGGCAGCGGGCTTTGGAGGAAGGGGCAAAAAAGGGTGCAGTTTTGAGCAATGCAGAGGGGTTCACCCTCTCAAGCCACTATTTTGGGGTTCCTTGTTGTAGTTATAGTAAAGCACACACGAAAACCTTATTCTAATTACTAAGGGGCTTATATTAGGCAATAGAAACACTTACACTGAGCCCTTGACCGTCACAAGACTTTTCGAGGTATTTCCTCACCGTTGCTGCCTCCTTTGTCTACCTCCTCCTGGCTGTTTGGCTGAGCATGTGCCTTGGCTTGCGGGGGTTACCCTAAGGTCGTTTCCCTGCTTCAACCGCCTTCAGGATGCAGGTTGTTGCAGTCAACTACAACCTTGGCTTACGGTTTGGTCCCTGTAGAACCCGATTACGACTGAAAGCAACAAGGAAGCATACGTTTGCAGGGGATTCTTTTAGGGAACACTGTCAGCAACAATGAACCGTTTGAAAAGTTTGTAGATGTCTGAAAAAACCCTGCAAATACACCCCAATAGAGCCCTTACAGAACCCTCAAAGAACCTTTCAAGGAGCCCTCTATTCTAAGTATCTGTACTATGATCCCGGTATAAGCCATCGAACCCTCATTGAGACCCGGCACTCTGATTCATCCGACTTCCCTGTTGGGTGATGTTGGGTAACCCGCTCAAGATCAAATCAGATCAACTTGCCTTAGAGCTTGACGTCTAAGCTTGCGAGTGCCATGTTTGCACCAGCCTGTGGTGAAAGCTGTGGGGAGGATTGTGCCAAGGGTACTGTTGCCTCCTTGGGCTTGATGGCAGGGCATACGGTGAAGCAGGTGCAGCAAGCCTTGAATGTGAATCCCGAGACCGCCGATGTGTGCATCGGGGGTTGCCGGTTGCCGGAGACGGAAGATGTCAAGCTGGAGGCTTTGGATCTTGATCTCAAGGGAAGTGTCGAGGTGGGTGGTTGTCAACATTATGGTCCCTTTTTGGGTACCCTAAATAGTAGGTTCCGGACTATGATAAGGACCCAAAAAGGGACCCTAATTTTGACAACCACCCAGGTCTTTGTCTGCCCGCGGGTGACTTTTGGCGAGGAGCTTTTGTGCTGCCCCGATGCTGTGCTGCGCCATCAGCCCAAAGCCAAGCTGGGCTTGGAGAGGTTCCTGACGCTCTGGATCCTCCTTGCTGCTGGCGCCGGGGTTCTGCTGGGCTACTACACAGGCCTTGACAAAGTGATCGAAGGTATGAAGGTTGGCAACACGAACCTGCTTTCAGCAATAGGCATGATAGCCATGTTGCTACCTCCATTTGCAGCCGTGAAGTACGACGAGTTCGCCTCCGCCGTGAAGCGAATTCCAAGACGCATCGCAGTCCAGAGCCTGATCATGAACTGGATTGTGGGGCCCTTCTTGATGTTGGGCCTGGGACTGCTAACTCTATCCAAGCATCCCGACTTGCTTCAAGGAGTCGTCTTCATCGGTGCTGCGCGATGCATTGCAATGGTGTTGGTATGGACATCCCTGGCAGAAGGAGACAGCTTCCTGTGCGTTTCGCTAGTGCTCATGAACTCCTTGATCACCATTGTTGGCTATGCTCCGACCGTGACCTTGCTTGCGCTGGTGGGGCAGGCCGCCGGCGTCAACATCGAGGGCTCCGTGGGCTTCTTAACCGTCTTCATAAATGTGGCTATCTACTTGGGCATCCCTCTGGCCATTGGGGTGCTCATGTGGTGCTTGGGACGCAGGCATGACTGGTACAGGAGCAAGTTCTTGCCGCGCTTTGCGCCGGTGGGCCTTGTTTCCTTGTTGGCTGTGGTTTTCCTCATGTTCTGCGAGATGGCCAAGCCACTACTCAATGGCCAGGTGAGCATCACGGATGTCCTCTTCGCGATCATCCCGCTGCTGCTCTACTTCAGTGTGATGTTTGCCCTTTCCTGGATTGTCTCGCGCATCATGCGGCTGCAGTTCCCGGAGACGGTGACCCTGGCCTTCACAGGTGCCAGCAACAACTTCGAGTTAGCGCTGGCATCGTGCACGGCGATCTTTGGAACAAGCTCCAACCAAGCCATCGCAACAGTTCTGGGCCCGCTGATTGAGATTCCAGTGATGCTCTTGATGGTGAGGGTCTCCGCATGCCTTCGATATGAGCAGAGGCAGAAGGAGCTCTGCCAAGAATCTTGTTATGCCAGTGACTCCACAGAAGTTGGAGATGACAGCAGCATCAGCAGCTGAAGCCAGTGCCAAGGTAGCTGAAGATGCCGCACTTTTGATCGCCACGAATCTGGCGATGCCAGCGACTCCCGCATTCGCAGCTGAAGCGTTTCTATGAAGCTGCGGATGCCGCAGTCTCTTTTGGATCTGATTGTACAGGAGGGGTTATTGCTACAAACGGATGATGCCCATTCCCCGAATATTATATTGAAACAGTTGGACGTGGTCTGGGCTGTGTCCTCTGAATTCGCTCGGGGGGGGGGGGGGTTCACCGTGTTGAAGAAGTGTAAGGTTGATGGCTGTGGGTTGTGGTTTGGGTTAGACTTGTTTTGGGTTGCTTTTGCAGAGGATGCGAAGATTCTATCCTCCATTGTATACGAGCATGTTGGCAAATAGGGTAGTTTAGGGTTCAGGGGCTTAGCTGTTGTTTATGCCGGTTCAGCTGTTTTGGTGCTCGTGCTTGGAGGATCAGGGGACTTAGTAAGTTAGATTACATATAAGTACCTTAATTGGGGTTATCAGTAATGATAAGTAAAGTTACCTTATGATCCTCTTAGTTAGACCCAAATCCGTAAACCCTATAGATCCCTTTAAGGAACCCTATAGATCCCTTTAAGGAGCCCTTTTAAGGAACACTGACTAAGTCCCATGATCCAACAAGCAGAGAGCAGCCCGAGCCTGCCTTGAGCGAGTGTGCGTGTCGAAACCCGATACCCTACCATCATAGGGATCCTTAGGGGTGTAGGGGGGAGGGGTGTAGGGGACTATATTTCCTTAAATAAGCCTTCCCCTCCCCCTACACCCCTAAGGATCCCTATGATACCAATAATTTCGGCCCCTCCTTTTAACCCAACACCACGCAGGATTGAGGCACAAAAAAAATCCCTCAATCCTGCGTGATGTTGGGTTAAAAGGAGGGCCCGAAATAGTTACCAATACCCTTCTGGGGTTCCTTGTTATATTTACAGTACAGCGGGCCCCAAAGCCATATTCTGATTATTAAGGCCCTTAAATTACAGTATCTTATAGATCCCTTACAGCACCCAGGAACCCTATTCTAATGGTTAAGGCCCCTATATTGACCTGAACTAAGCAGGTACGCGTCGATCGCCTCCCACAGCTTCGGGGTGCGCCTGAGGCACCGGCGGGAAGGGAGTTTTGGTTTTAGGGCTTGGTTTCAAGGCTAAGGTTTTAACAAACGAACAAAGGTTTATAGTTTTATTTGTGTTTTATGGTTCAGGGGTTCATCCTCCGTTCCTGGCATGTGGCATGGCCGAGGTGTACCGATGGGATTTATGGTTTAAGAATTTGGGATCTAGGGCGTAGGCTTGGGGTTAAGGTGGCGGGTTTGGGTCCAAGGCATGAGGGTTTTCTGTAAACGGGTGTGGGACTTTGGGATTTAGGGCTTCAGGGTTTAGGGTTTAGGGTTTGGGATTTAGGGCTCCTGCATGATCGGCAGAGTCTGGTTTCAAAGAAGAGCTCCGGCATGCCCAGCTACTGTTAGAGACGCGTCAAGGCTGCAATCTGCAAGGCCACTGAGGCTTGATATAGTAGTCTCATATTTTTCTACAGCCACACTAGCACGACAATTTACCACCACTAGACCAGCTCCAACTTTGGCGTCTGTTCTGTGCAATGATGTAATGTAATTCAACCACTCTGTATGCTATAAAATCCTTACAGAGAGGGGGGTAAGCTAGGTAAATCACCTGGCAACCCCCAGTTGACCTTCACACTTCCTCTGGATCCCCCTCAATCCCTCCAAAATCCTTTCGTGAACCCTGAACCCGGAAAAAAAACCTAAACCCTGAATGAACCCCCTTCTATCCTAAACCCCAAACCCTTTCAGCCCTGGGAGTGCAAGGGACAGGCTTTTCCCCGAGTGATCGTACGCCAGGACAAGGGGCGCTAAACAAAGAGCACAACTATTTCAGGATCGTATAAAGTATAGGCGCCGTCATAATTACCTATATCGGGGGTTCCTTATTATAGTCATAGTACAATATATCCCAAAACCCTACTCTAATTGTCAAGGCCCCTACTCTAAACCCTCATAGAAGTAATCCTTATCGACTCCTGTAAAAGGAACCCTTTAAAGAGGCCCTTTTCTAATCATTAAAGCCCCATATGAATTAAACCCAAGAATCCCCTCCAGCGGAAGCTTGCAAGGACTCGCTATGTGCGGCTTCCCATCCCGAACCTCTCGCAGATCCTGGGCTTGCATAGGGGAAAATGTAGGAGCCTTGATATTTAGAACCCTGTTGTGAGAGCAAAATCCCTTGGTTGAGGGTCCAGGGTCTGTGTAGGGTCAATGGTACAGGATCCAGTTGGGCTTTAGGTGAGGGTTTGAGAGGTGTCTACAGTAAAAACCAGGAAGCTGGAGCATCATTATCCTCATGCACTACAAAGTAAAGCAGAGGGAATCCCAGCACAAATCATCCCAATTCAGTGTTCCAATGTTCTGAAATTTTACTACAAATTTTAAGTGTATAGGGGTCTAGAGCAGTTCAGGGCCCCCACGCGCGAGCAGGGGTTTCGAGGAGTTTAGGTTCAGGGACCCGGGGGTTTAGAGCCGGCTTGGGCTTAGAGTCCCGCACTTGGTATTTTCATGTAAGTCCGAACAGTAAAACGGAAGTCCTACATCTACAGCCCGGACCGCTGTATGAGCAGCGCGATTGTGTTCTTCTTCGGGCCAGTATGGCGAGCTGAGCTACTACGGGGTCAGCATCAACCTCGCTGAGCACTGCCTTTGCCAGAAGCAAGTCGCACCCGGGAATGACTGCCGCAAGTCCCGAATGTTCAATCCTGTCAAGAAGCAATGGGTTCCACCCGTGGGCCAGCTGCACAGTCTCGTGATCCAAAATCACTACAACGACCGGAAAGAGCCTTGCACTCCTGCACCCTTGTAACATATGGGAGTTTCCGAAAATTAATTAGGGGTACGTTATTTTGGGGTCCTTATAATAAGGATCCTACTATTTTGGGGTACTATCTTGGTGTCTCCTATTTTCGGGGAACTCCCATTGAGATCCCGGTGCAGAGAAGATTCTGGGCAAGGGCAGAACTTACCTTTGGTAAGTAGGGAATGGAGGAATGGGGTACAAGTATAACTTCTGTTACTACCATTCTTTCATTCCCTACTAACCAAAGGTAAGAGAAAGGGAAGAGAAGCCAGTTTGCAGTAATTCTGAAACACTGGGCAGTCCGTGAAACAGAAGCCTGACAAAACTATTTAATGCTATTCCTGGAGGCTCCTTTTTCTGATGATACGAGAACCGACCCCAAAACCCGATTCCAATTCTGAAGGCCCCAGTACTATGTACTGTAGGGGCCTTAATAAATTAGAAGACGGCTTTGGGATATATTATATGTACTGTAATTACAATAAGGAACCCCCAAAACCATACTGCACGATGACAATGAGGGACCCCCCAACACCCACGGTATACTATACTATAGTTACAATAAGGAACCCCCCCAAAACCCACTCTCCAATTCTTAAGACCCCAAAACTACTTGGAGGATCGGGGGACTTAGTAAGTAGTTATTTTATAGACTTATAAGTATCATAACCCCAATTAGGATCCCTTTTAGGGTACTTATATGTCTACTTATTACCTACTTACAAAGTCCCCCGACCCTCCAAGTACGCAGTCAACAAAGATCGCCCCCAGCTTCCAGCTCGAAGAGATTGCCATTACTATAGGGGCCTTAACGATTACCTATGCCGTGTTGGAGTTTCTTATCATAGTTATAGTATGATGTACCCCAAAACCCTATTCTAAGTTTTACGGCCCTACATTAGGCTACTGTTGATGGTGCTGAATCTGTATTTGGGTAGCAGATATTGCCAAGAGGCTACCTGACAGGCAGATGAATTGCTTAGGCCACTTGTTTCAGCTTGGGCTTCATGGGCCTTCTGCTTATACGGGAACAAGGATCTCTCTTTAGTTGTTGTATACAGGGCTCCGGAGCAAAGTGGAATATCCGGCTTTTTGTAGAAGTGCAAGAAGCAGCGCGTTAGTCCGAGTGCGAGATCACTTGAGCCTGAACCCCAACCTTAGAAATGAGCAAAAGACCTTGTAAGCCTCGGTAAGGGCAAATAAAAGCCAATATGAAATCCTACTACGAACAGCTTCTGAAAGTTTGCAGAACGAAGTTGTGAGCCGAGGATTCAAAGCATTACCACCAAGCTCTCCGACTTTGAGAAGCAGGGCATCTCCAAGGCAGTCCCTGCTTTCTTGAAGGATCATGGGACTTAGTAACCAGGGTTGTAATTAAGGCAACCATACTTGCAATTACTTATAACCTCGATTATTGTACTTATAACTTAACTTACTAAGTCCCATGAACCTCCAAGTTCTGCATGAGGGATTAGGTTGAGTAGGGCTTCGGGAGGGGAGGGTTTAGGGTTTACATAGGTCTGCAAGGCTTTAGCTTTAAGAAGTGTGATGAGCTTGGTTTCAAGTTGGATATAAGTACAGGGTTTGACCTGGTCGGTATTTCGAGCTTTCATGTGATGCCGCAGGTGTTCCTCTTACGGTAGATGCATCGTTACGTGGTCTGCGCGACCCTTCATCAGCGACGATATCGGAGGACAAGCCCCGCATGGCCTCCAGCATCAAACCCGGCAGTTCCTCAAACCCAAGCGGAAACCCAGCTGCCCGAAGTCTCAAACCTCTCTGCAGGGCCAGGGTTTGCGGTGTGGGGCTCGGGTTGAGGATGTCAGGAGTATGGCGTCGTCTTTGGGTTCTACTAGTAGTAGCAGTAGCAGTAGCAGTAGCAGTAGCAGTGGCAGCAGCAGCAGTAGCAGTGGCAGTAGCAGTAGCAGTAGCAGTAGCAGTAGTAGTAGTAGTAGTAGTAGCAGCAGCAGCAGCAGTAGTAGTAGTAGTAGTAAGGGTCTTGGCGTCAAACGGGCTTCAGGGTTTAGGGCAGCTTTTGATCGCAACCGAGCAGTCAGACCACTCCTTGCGCGCTTTCCTGCCACTGCTACTCTTACAAGGAGGCTCGTACTCACTTTACCTGGAGCCTAAGTAGAGAGCTGAGGGCAAGGAAGCCACAGAACTTGCTTTATGATTATGTGTACTATAGTGGCCTGAATAGTTAAGCAATACTATGCCTCAGGGCTCCTCATTCCAATTACACTTTCATATGCTGCCGAACTGTATGACAGAATCTCTGCAGATCCCTTATAGAACGCTTTGCAGCAACGCGGTAAACGGAGCCCCATTCGCCTCGATATCACTCTGTTCATCCCTATTTCAAAGTTGTGGCTCAGTGACCATGACTTGGTTCTTGTTAAGGGGGTTCAAATCAAGTTACCATAGTAAAGAAACCATGTTATTTGCTATAGATCCAGATTCGAGGAGCTTAAATTAAGCTGCTTTAACCCTAAACCCTAAACCCTAAACCCCAAGAGTCCAGTGTGCTGCTCCAGGTGATGCGCATTCCCTTCGGACCCCAGGGCGCCCAAAAGTGGGAACTGCAAGCAGAGAGACTCATCCCAAACGGCCGTACCCAGAGCCTCCAAAACCCCTTAATTAAGGAATATTCCTTAAATTATAATAGGATCCTAATATGGTTTAAGGAATATTCCTTAAATTATAATAGGATCCTAATATGGTTTAAGGAATATTCCTTAATTAAGGGGTTTTGGAGGCTCTGGGTACAGAGTTAGGGTTGGGGTCTTGGTTCTTTTTTTTTAACACGGCTGCAAGCATTTCGGTATATTGTGGTTGTCAAGGGTTTACATGGTTTCGAAGTACAGGTCTCCAGGGTGGCTAAAGGATCCAGAATGTAGGCTTGAGTGACGTTATTGCACGTAGTCATTGTGTATGTAGGTGCTTGCCGATCGGCAAGGGGGTTGTCAACATGCAAGAGTGCTGAAACATGTGCGTCTGAATAGTGACGAATACTGCCCCGCGGGTCAAGTGATATAGATATTGATAGCCAGGTAGGTAGGTAGGTACACGGATAGATGGGTTAGATAGATACACCAGATAGGATAGATAGGGTTTAGGGTCGAGGGTTTCGGGTGTTAGGGTCTTGTGCATTTTCCCGGCTGATTGCAAGAGTCCTGGATGCAAAAAGGGTGTAGGCACGGTAGGAAATCATATCAGATGTGCGGTGATGGAGGGTTTCGAAGAACGCGCAGATGCTGGTTCAGTCTCTATACTGAGGGTTTGGTGGGATGACCCCTGGTTTTGGGTTTCGGGTTGAGGGATTCAGGATCTAGGGCAAGCATGGAGGCCTGGCGTTCCCCAGCTGTAGGAAAAGTCAAAGGGGAAAAGGAGGGACCCTTAATGGGGACCCTTACCCCATAATGGGCTATATACTGTGTATATAATAGCTATATTAAGGGTATATACCTAGGAAACCCTAAACCCTAAGCCCTAAACCCTAAACCCTAAACCCTCCTTATTGAGGGTCCTTCCTTTTCCCTTTTGAAGGAAAAGAAATCGTAGAGGTGCCGAGGCCCGGACTCGACGTTCTAATCCCTAGACTTACCTTTGGTTGGTAGGTAATGGAAGAATGGTAGTAATAGGTTCCTTTAAAGGGATCCTTTAAGGGATCTATAGGGTTTAGGGGTTTAGGGTTTACTTTTGGTTAGTAGGGAATGGAAGAATGGTAGTAATAGTAGTTATACTTGTACCCCATTCCTCCATTCCCTAATTACTAACCAAAGGTAAGTAGACTTACATCCTAAACCCTCAGCACAACCTGTGGCCCTAAAACCCTAAACTTGAAAGCTTATATCGGGGCCTTTACTTGAAGGATCATGGGACTTAGTAACTAGGGTTATAACTAAGGTAACTATACTTATAATTACGTATAACCCCAATTAAGGTACTTATAACCTAACTTACTAAGTCCCCTGATCCTCCAAGTAGATCCTAGACTCCCGAAGCTGCCAAGACATCAACCCTTCGTCTTGAATTCCAATTCTCTTCAGCCCTGACCCAAAGAACTTGCGGCCCTTCCGGGGTTGTGTAGACTGCCGGATTCTTAGCACGTATACGGATTTTAGGGCAAGCTTGAACTTGAGTTTTCCCAACATGGAGCATCAAGATGTGCATGCAGATTATCGGGATACCATTTGTCTAGTATAGGCGCCTAAACAATTACCTATACTACTTTGGGGTTCCTTATTACAAATATAGCAGAATGGGCCCTGAAACCCTATCCAATTATTAAGGCCCTTACATTATAGTATCTTATAGATCCCTTGTAGCAGGAACCCTATTCTAATTATTTAGGCCCCTGCATGACTCGGGCGGCACCCCCAGACTCCGTGGCTAAAGGGTTTAGCCCAGAGACTCCAATATCCCTTAATGAAGGAATATCCCTTAGATTATAATACGATCCCTAATATGATTTAAGGAATATTCGTTAATTAAGGGATATTGGAGTCCCTGGGAGGGTGGCTAAAAACTCTGCGTCAGAGGAACCTACTTGTGGCCCAGCCAGCCTTTTCCTCTGGCGCTTTCTTCATCTGATTCCCCATAGTGTAGGGGCCTTATAAGTAAGTACCTATACCATTTTGGGGTTTCCGTAGTATATGCACACTATAACGGGCCCCAGAACCTACTCGAATTATCAAAGCCGCCTATAGTATGTTGGGTTTCGGATATTGTCCACCCGGAGCTTCTGTGAACCCCGCAGGGGAGGTGTTCACCCAAATCACTTTTCGGAACCTGCAGAGGAACCCTTATAGAACCCCGTACCTCCGCATCAACAAAAAAAACTACACAAAATTCCTAAACCATACATCCCCCAACGCACCCTCAGAACCCCTGCTGAGGCGCAACGGAGAAGGCCAAAGCCAAGGACAAGGACAAAGTCAGCCCTCGGCGTCTTCAGCTCCGCCTCTTCGTCATATTAGCATGATTTCCTTCCATTATATAAAAGCTGCAGATATGTCATCGTTTAGGAACATTATGGGTACACTGTAGCTATGGTCCAGTTGCTTCTGGAGGATTTGGGGTGGAGGGGTTCGGGAAGTGTTGGGTGTCAGGTAGGATAACGGCAGGTTGAGAAACCGAAGCCCGAACAGGAGATCCCATATCAGGGGTTCGATCCTGTTTCCTGTTCATTTTCGCCCCAGCAGCTGAGGTTCAGGGGTTCTAGCGTCAGTGGTTCAGAAGTTATTGGAATTAGGTGAGGGCTTGACGTCTTTACGTTGAACTCTATTCGCAATTCCCAGGGTCTTGGCACTAAGCCCTTGCAGGATCTTGGCGAGCCAACAAACCGTAAACCCCTGTGTGCACCCTGCATCATATTATGGGAGTTTCCGACAATTAAATAATTAGGGGTACCTCATTTTGGGGGTCCTTATAAGTTATAAGGATCCTACTATTTTAGGGCATTATATTGGGGTCCCCTTTTTTCGGAAACGCCCATATGCAGGCTTGAAACTTATCACGTTTATTCCCTAGAATATGCCCAAAAGCCCTGGCGAAATTGTTGAGACCCCTATATTTAGGGTTTAGGGCTTTAGGGCTTTAGGGTTTAGGGTTTAGGGCTTGTAGTCCTAGTTTACTCACCAAGGCCTCCATACTCATTGACATTCAAGAGGAGGAGCTGGAATGCGAAGATAAACGGCAAATCCTGTTTAACTGTTCCTTAGCCTTAGGGTCCTGAACATACTTACAGTATCAAAACCCCTTAGGCCCTCAACTCGGATTCCTAACCCTCACCCTACCTAAACCGCAACCTTCGCCCGGAAACCACCCTACCAAGTTCAAGTCCAGGTAGATCCCTACTTCTTAACACAAGTGCTTAGCCCAGCTCCATCCCCAAACTCGAGGTCGTAGACCCTCTACCCTGGAAGTCTATAAGTCCAGCTTGATCCCTGAGCTCACCATAGGCCGCAGGTGCCATACTTACATATTTTTTGGTACTCGACGCGTTGGCTCAGGTCTCAGCCAGTCGCAAAGCGGTCCCAGGTGCCCATATCGACACGGTCCCAGGGTACAACATCAAGGATCAGCAATTTTACATTGCAGTTTGCTCTGGCAAGTCCGGCGATCCAGGGCCAAACGACATTGGAAAGTTCTGGCTGGACGCAGCTGTCCCATCCTCTTACGCCATGCTCACTCGTCAACTAGCAGCAAAAAGTCGTCAGGTCGTGTGGACCGCAGGGGAGCTTGCTGGCCAGACAACAAATGGTCTCATGGCGTCATCAGCCGGGACGACTTGGCATGGTACACCAAGCATGGTGACAAGACCTCCAGCGGACACACCCTCCGAGAGGAACGGGATGCATTTTGCTCTGGGAATCTACGGCCATTGATGCAACATGAGCGGGTGAATAAAGCAGAATCAACGAAGCTGTCCCAGCAGAGCCTTTTGGAAGGTCTGGTCGATTCATTGGTGGAAGACATCCCCTGAGTTGTTCCGTAAAGGAACCATTATGAGATGATATGAAAGTCTATCTATACTTTTATCTCCCTGGTTACTTCAAAGTCCAGCAACAAACCCTGAACCCTAAACCCAACAAAGGTAGGAGGGCAAAAAAACCAACAAAGGCGAGTCCGAATTACGAGAGCTCAACCCCCTCCCCCCCCAAGAAAAAAATGAGTCCAGTCTGATCCCCGAGGCTCTAAATCTCAGGCCCGAAACGTTTCTCTAAACGCCAAGCCCGAATGGAACCTTAGGCCTTGATTTGAGTCCCGAAACCCTAAACCCCTAAATCCAGACTCCCTGCGATGCGGGCTTCATCCTTGCTAGGTAGGAGGGACCAAACTCCTAAATCCTAAACCCTAGACCCTAAACAGAAAACAATCTCATAGATGTTCTTGGAAATCCCCAAATACAGTAGGTACTTAGGCCTTAAAGTACCCATATAGAGACCCCTTTAAGGCCTAAGTTTTGGTAGTCCAGTCTCACTTCAATCCTAAACTCTAAACTAAACCCTAAACCCTAAACAGAAAACAGTCTCAGTCCAGTTTGATCCCTGGGTTCTCAACCTTAGGCCCCAGACCTTTCTCTAAACTCTAAGCCCAAAAGGAACCTTAGGCCCCTAATCTCAGTCCAGTCTCACTTGGGTTTTTTGGCGAACCCAGGCCATCGAGCAGCCAGCGCGCTGCACTCCCGGAGGCCATCGACCTTGGGGGTGTACTTAGGGGTACTTAGAAATAGTTTTTAATTTTTGGTTATTACAATCCCCAAGAAACAGCTAAAATCATAATTTTTGCTAGGGTTCTAAGTTCAGTATAGTCGGGTTTTTGGATTTAACAGCTAAGGTTTTTGGGGTTCGGGGTGTAAAAACCTAAGGTTTGGGGGTGAAGGGTTAACTGTTTTTGGGTTTTGGGGCTAATAGCCTTTAGAGATTAACAACTAAATTAACAACTAAGGTTTAGGGTTTGCGGTTTCACAACTTAGGTTTAGGGTTTTGGGTTCCAGGTTTGGGGTTGAGGATCAGGGTCGACGGTTTAGGATTTAACGAAGGTTTCAGGTGTAGTTTAGGCTAGGGTTGAGGAAAAATCGTTTCTGCTTCGTTTGCTTGTGAAGCTTGACGGGTTCTTATGATTTCAGGGTGCAGTTTGTCCGTTTACGGGTTGGCTGGTGGTGACATAGTCCTGCCATGATCATCACGGTTGCCTCGGCCATGAGATGGCAAACAGGGAGTGCCAGGCCTGACTATCAAGTTGCAAGTCCCAAAATTTTGAGCCTGCATAGCATCAGGCTTCATCTCTCACATCTAGTTGGACCAGTTGCTGTGAAGCCTTGCCTGCCTTGTGCGAGCGTGAGAGTCGAAACCGTAAGTTCAGAGTGGCACAGAAGATTCTCATCCGGCCCGTCAAATGATCATCGCCGAATCCAATCGTCGGAATCTCAGAGCGTTAGCCGATACGGTTTCCAGAATCACCCTAGCGATGGCCAGTACAGAGCTTGATTAGCTTTTGTTGTATCTACCTTGGATACTGCCCCCACTCAGTAACAGTTGGATAATATTCATAATAGAGATATATTCGGCCCTTAATAGTAGCCCTATTACAGACTGTTAGTGTATGGGGGCAGTATCCAATGTCTACCTTTCCAATAGCTCGGAGATTATCTCGTGCTGAAGTTTCTGTAAAATCAGGTTCCCCCCCAAAAAGAAGCCCAAAATCCCAAATCCTCGCACCTGAAGCTCTAAACCTCAAGCCCAAGCCCCATGCCAAGTTGCGAAGGAAAAACTACCTAGACGCTACCAAGTCGCGAGTGGCAATGAAAGCCTTCAAACTTTCAAAACCCAAATCTCAAAAAAAACCTTAGGAGGGAGGTCTGGACACCGTGTGCAGTCGCTTCTTTTAGCCAAAACCCTAGGCTTGAAAGGTCTTGCCCGCGCTCGAATGCTTAGTTCTGGGTTTTCGATGCGAGTTCCTATACACCTATACTACAAACAATCCCCAAAGCCTTTCCGGGCCCCGTTTCCCACCGAGTTGAAGCACAGAACTATGGCACCAGAAACAGATCCAGGCGTTAGTTCAAGTCATTAAAGCCCTTATCGAATCCGATCGGCCTTTACATCCCCCTTTGTGTGGACTTTTCATCATTACGGCGCCGGTTCAATGGTGAACCCTAAAACTCCTTTACAGACTATGCAGTCGACCCTTGAAGATGTTTTTCCAGTTATTCTGGCCCCTATCTTACAAGCCAGAAGCCTTGGAAAGCTTTCGAATAACCCTAAACCCTCAACCCTATAAGATCTAATAAGCACCCGGCAAGAGGCCCGCTCCCTTTTATCACCTGGCAAGGCTGCAGCGGCTCCAAAACTCCTTGCTTAGTATCATACCCTCAAACACTAGAGAGATCCTGTCATACGGCTTGTGGCCTTTGTTTCCGACTCAGGACCTTGTCGAATGCCACAAACGCCCCATGAAGAACCTTCAACCCCCCGTCGCGGACACTTAAGCAGAGTTGTTGGGGAGGTTCGGCTGGCGGAGGCGGGTGACATCGGATTTGGCCAGGAGGAGCGTTGCCGTCGTTGGGGTTCCTGTCCGGTTTTTGGAGTTGTCTTAGGTTTGTAGTTGAATTTATCGGGTTTTGGGGTTTCTGTTGGGTTTTAGAGTTGTGTTAGGTCTGTAAGGTGGTCGCTGCTAGCGGTGGCTGTCACCATCGTTATCGATGGCATTGCAGTATAGGGAAGAGGTCTGCATCAGCCTGTGGTGAAGTACTACACTGTTGCAGGCAGTAGCCGGTGACTGGCAAGCACGACGTTGGCGCTAGCGTTGGTGGCCGGCCGTTTGTGGTTTGTCGCTGTCGTTGTCATCTTGGGCACGTTGTTGACGAATATGATTATGATGCTGCGGATGCTTTCTGGTGGTGCTGGCGATGTGGCTCCGATGACGGGGATGGTGTTGACGATGGCCCGTACGAGCCGACATTCGGCCAGCGATCCTGCATAATACTTGGCGGGGCTCAGCTCAAACGTAGCTGAGCTTTATCATGAGTTGTAGGATAGGCTAGTGCGTGTGTGGGATCCTCAATGCATGCACCGTGGATCCAACAACCATGATGGTGGTGCTGACGATGATGTTGATGGCCATGGTGTTCATAGCCATACGTGTTGTGAGGCAGATGCGGATGTCAAGAGTCCTGGTGGTGGCAATTCTGGCAATTGCAGTCGCAATAATTAACTCGGTGCTAGTCAATTCTTCGGTCTTCCCCCGTAACCTTAAACTCCAAACCCTAAGCCCTGGCTGAGCTTTAAAGCCCGGGCCCTCAGCCCAAAGTACCTTAAGCCGTGAAGCCTAACCTCTAACCTCTAAACCCTAAACCTCACCTCAACACGGTCACTTCATGTGTTATTATACACTTGTTGCTTGTACTTGACTGCCTCTCCTAGTGATGCCTCACTCAGCAGACTCCGAACCATATGCCTCGCCTGGCTTGTCCGAGTGTGAGCGCCGAAACCCGAAACCCTAAACCCTACACCCTTAAAACTCGCCTGGATTCTCCGAGTGTGAGCGCCGAAACCCTAAAAACTTCTAAACCCCTAAACCCTAAGCCCTAAACCCTTAAAACCCCTAAACCCTAAACCCTAGGTTCGTCCTAGCCAGGCGGGAGGCAAAAAAACCAGAAACCCTTAAAACCCCTAAACCCTAAGCCCTCGAGCCCTCAGCCCAAAGGACATTCTCATGGAGGCGGCCGCCAGCGTTCCCGGCAAGCATGTGGAGCTCTTCCGGAAGCTCCAGGCTGGTCTTTGGGGGCTTGAGGGCATCAAATGTACGGGCCTCAATAATTACCCACACTATTTTGGGGGTTCCTTATTTTTAGTTATAGTATAATATACATCCCAAACCCTATTCTAATTATATGGGACTTTCCGGAAATCGGGGAACCTAGTATAGTGCCCTATATAGTAGGATTCTTATTATAAGGGTCCCAATACAAGGTACCCCTAATTTTCGGAAACTCTCATATGAAGGGGATCTAATATAGGGGCCAACATAGTCGGCTTGCTGTTTTCGTTTCGTGAGGGGCGTCAAGGCTTTAGCCTCACGCGTGGCCTGGCGTGCTGCTAGACCCTCTGGATGCAACGAGAGAGAGAGAGAGAGAGAGAGAGAGAGAGAGAGAGAGGGAGAGAATTACTATTTTTGGGGCTCCTTATTGTTACAGTAGTTTAATCTACCCACCAATCCCTATTCTGCTGTGGGTTTGAGGGGAGCTATGGAGCCTATTGGGTTTTTGTAGAGCCTGAATTTAGGGCTTGCAGGGGTTTGATGGGGTTTCAGGATGTAGGGGTTTGAGGTTAGGGGTTTTAGGGGTTAAAAGGGTACGTAATCGGGCGAATGGTTTCAACAGTTTAGGAATATTTTGGCATGTAATAGCAACCCCCGACGTCATTAAAGAGAATGATCTACCACCGAATCCGTCGTCCAACTATTGGGCCCTGGACTTTGGATGCTGGTTACCTTTAAACTACGATACATGGCTTTTCTGCAGGCTCTTGCTATACAGCTTGATTGGGCATGAATATCAGGACCCTGCTCAGAAAAGTACGTGTTCGAAGCTGAAGGTGGGTAGCCCTCAAGCTTCCAGCTGATTATTTCGTTGCTGAAGACGTGGAGTCGTATGGGAGTGGGGTGGAGGACAGTTTCGGGACAGGGGAAAAAAGGAAGCAAGGTAACTTTCGGGAGCCCAGCAACTAGGGAGATGAAGGGGGGTTTCTGAAGACAATACGGGGGACCCTGGCATAATTTTTGTGTTTAGGGTTTTGGGTTTGAAATCGCCTTAATTATGCAGTTTAGACAATAATTACGTGCATTGCTTGCAACACCAGAAAATTCGGGACCCCAATCTCCGGAAAACCCGGATATCAGCTCAAGACAAGACGGGACTTCTGATATGGGTGGTTGTCAAATTATGGTCCCTTTTTGGGTCCCTGTATTTAGGGTACCCAAAAAAAGACCTGAATTTCGACATCTACCCATGTAGACGTTCTACATGTGGAGGCCAAGTGGCAGTGCTACGACGCCTATGCCCGGATCTCGATGGCCCTTGGGGTGAACCAGTGGCTCCGTCCGGTTTAGCATGTTTTTTTGTTCGGTCCTCGGGCAAAGTTTAGGGTTTGCTTTGGGGTTCAGGGTTTGAGGTTTTAGGCTTGAGTGCTGGTTAATTTGCAGGCTTCTTTGGGATGTCCATGCCGAGTTACTCAGGATGATCCAGTCCGTGAACTACTTCGTGGTTGGCTACACGATGATCCAGACCTGCTCCCCCAGCCACTTGTCCTGATTTTTGCAGTTGTATTGCAACTCGGTGTCTACATGTGCCGTGTGCGATTTCTTATTTCACGACCAAACACCTTCGGCCCGCCCGAATACCCTTTGATAGAGCCCCTCTGTAGTCCTTCATAGTGGGCAGCCCGGGGAAACTGGAGGGTCGTTGTGGGGGTCTGGGGCGGACTCCGGTGGTCTGCGCAGGCACCACCGGCTGCTTGTGCTGAACACGTCATTTTTCTTGCACGAAATCTCAATGCCCGAAACACTGAGCTCCAAAAAGAACCCTGGGATAGCTGTTATCCCTAGGCAAGTTCAGTGTTAAAGTGCGATCTTGTCAGCTTAGACAGGAAGCACGAGCCCAAAACTTTCAACCCCAGATCCACTTACATTTCAACTCCCAAATTGCCAAACCCTAAACAAACCTCCGGCTTGTCCGAGTTGAGAGCGTAAAGTTAAACCGGCAGCCGAGGAAGACGGGTCAACCCTGAAACCGAAACCTGAGGCAATGGCTACGCTGCCACGATCATCTTCCAGGGATGTACATTTGGTTTGGCCTTCCTGGACATTGCCGGGCTGCGATCCTGGAAGACGCCTCGGCGGCAGAGTTTTTCAAGGTTTTTGGGTCTAGGGTTCTGGGCTTTCGGTGGTGAAAGTGTCCGTCCTCGTGGAGTCGCAGCAGCCCAGTTGCACAAGGGTTTAGGACAGTCGAGCCATGGGTTGTACGGGTTTAGGGTGTTGACTCATAGGCATGTGAGCTCGACATTCGGCCGCGATCTGGTTTTTGGATCCTCTACAGGGGTCCTGGCCGGCCCCAGATCCTTCTTGGAACTGCGAGTCCTTTCGACATAAATATAGCGAGCTAGTTTCCGTTCACAATGAAATCCACCGTAAATTTTGTCAGGACCCCAGTGAAGAATCCCCTGATATCCCCTGATTCTGGGGTTTCGAGTGTTCAGGGCCTCGGCTGAGCTGTTCCAGGTCGCGCAGGTTTGCAGGTGTTGAGGGCCTTACCTGAAGGCCCTGCGCCCAGGTGAAACCGAACAGGAGGAGTACCTTAGTTTTGGGTCCTTAAAGTAAGGATCCTACTATCCAGAGGAATTTAGAGTAATTGACCTGGAATTTTCAGGCTTTTTGCAGAAGAAAAGACCTTTTGAACGGAGGATCTTCGCACTGCAGATAGTCGGAGCGCTGCCCATGCTGCGCCTGGGCTGCCTTCGGGGTCTTGGTTTTTCCGCAAGTGTACTTGGAGGTTCATGGGTAGTTATAAGTGGGGTGATAAGTCCCCTAATATGGGTTATAATTTATTAATTATAGTTACCCTACCTATAAGCCTACTTGTATCTACCCATGAACCTCCAAGTATGTCGTTTTGGAGGGCTCCGAGCCGCGAGATATTTCTGGAGTCACTTCTATTGACGGGCGACCACGACCATGACCACTACCAATGCCATTGCCACTGCCATGGCGACTGCCACTGCTACTGCCACTTCTACGACGACCACGACCACGACTGGTAAAAGTGTTACCACTCACCTCCCTGCTGCATGCCGCAACAGCATCATCCGTGTGATTGTGTGTCTCCTCTCGACTAGCTTCACGAAGAAAACTTGTTCAAGTGCTAACATTACTGCAGTTTTGACCTTTGCCAGAACGCTGGGCTCTGATTATGAGCCTCGCAACACGCACCATATTATTATTCTTTACGGTGAGCCACGAGCACGCAGCTACTACCGCAAATCGCACGACCACCGATCTGGTACAGTCGAGAGGTCAACCCCTAAGAAAGGATCCCTAAGCCTTAAACCCTGTGTGCTTTGACGGTCACCAGAGACTTCGTCAGGCATGTCCGAGTTGCGAGAGCGTAAACCCGGAAACATGTGTTCAAAAAAAGCCTTCACCCTAAACCGCCCAAACACACTAAACCGTTAACCCCAACCCGAAAGGATCCTCGTGGCCATGCTAACCGTGGCCAATCGGGGACGAGAAGGAGACCGGCTTTGGGAGGATTTTTGTTGAACTGGTGTGTCTGGGTAGGGTTTGGGGCCTCCCGGCTTTGCTTTGGGTTAAGGGTTTAGGGTTTAGGGTAAGCCCAAACCCCAAACAGGACCCTGAACCCTAAACGCTGGGCTTTGACGTTTGAGCGGGCTAATAATAAGAAAGAACTTATATAATACCCAAAACCACAGCCACAGCCCCCAAAAAACCTGAAAGCCACAACCACAAACAACAAAAGCCTGAAACATTAAAAACTTAAACCCGAAAGCCCTGCAACTAGTGGCTGCAAGTGATTTCTAGAGGGATGCTGCCTGCATGATTACTGCATGTTGGTGGGAAGCCCACTGCATGATGAGAGGGAAGTGAGATGACCGCAAACGGGCCTAAACCCTAAAGTAGGACCAAGACAGGGTAGGCAGGACGGTTCACGGGCTCTTCTCACCGAACTAGGGCTAAGGTTCAACAATGTAGGGGAATAGTTACCTAGTATTTTTGGGGGTTCTTTATTTTAATTATAATGTAATGGGCCCCAAAGCCCTCTTCCATTTATTAAGGCCCCTACATTCCTGCTGAATCTTGTTGAGTCTAGGGTTGGTTGTTCGCTGCTATCAAGCTGGTTCCTGTTATGGGTCGTGATTTGGGAGCTTCCGAAAATAGGGGTACCTTATTTGGGGGGTCCTTATAAGAAGGATCCTAGTATTTACGGTACCATAGTGGGGTCCCCTATGTTCGGAAACTCCCATTTGTTGCTAGGCTTTCTTGGACTGGGCTTGACCGCAAGGCAACTCAAACTCCAGAGTGAGCTGACTTGGGAATGGTTAATGTTACTGAGTGAAGCTGTATCGCTACAGACCTCGCCAGCTTGCCCGAGGGTTATTGTCAAAAGCCCTACAACCCTACAGTCTTAAACTAAACCCCAAAACCTACAACCCTTGCCCTGCGATAGTCCTTGCTAGGTAGGAGGGAAAAAACTCCTAAATCCTAAACTCTAAACCCTAAGCCCTAAACAGGGCAGACATAACAAGAAGCTCAAAACAAAAAAACCCTACAACCCTGACCCCCTAAGCCTGCAGTTTTTCGAGGGAGCGCGCCCATCGCCCCCCTGTGTCCGGCGTTCTACGCCTCGCCTCTCTGTGCCTACTTCGAGGCCCCCTGGCACTGGCCTTGCGAGTTTGTGTGTCTGTGTGTTTATATAACGCATGTATATATATATATATATATATATATATTATATATATATATACATATATATATATATATATATATATATTTATTTATTTGCATACATTTGTATATGAGTAGATGAATATATGCATGTTGTATGTATAAATAAATATGAATACATTTAAACTCTGTGTAGGTTGCGCTTCTGTTTTGGGCTGGATTGCACAGAGTATGTGTCTTTCCAATTGTTCAAGTGTTGCTTTTTGGTGTTGTTTTCTATCGGCGCTTACTTTGTCGTGCTTTAGGGAATATGTTGTACAATCCTGATAGACCCCTTGTGGAACCCTCATGCCCTAAACCCTGAACCCTAAACCCTGGACCCCCAGGACCCCTAAACCCTAAACCGTCTACGGGAGCACAGTCACCTTATTTGTTGCTCATACGCTTTGTTGCGTGTCATTATGACTACTTGCTTTAGTTCCGTTTCACTTGTCAGACTCCGAACCATACGCCTCGCCTGGATTGTCCGAGTGTGAGCGCCGAAACCCTACATACTGTAGACCCACACGCGAAGCTCTAGACTTGGAACCCTGCGTCGGGGATCTGAGGAGTTCGATTTGGGGGCATCCAATTGTCATGCAGTGTCCCAACCATCGCAACGGCTCCTCCCTGTAGCGAATATCGGCTACCACCAAATAAGTGGAGAAATGGCCCGAACAAAAAAACCCAAACCCTAAACAAGGGAAGGCCTAATCAGTCTCCGAGAACCTCGCCTGGACACTTGTCCGAGTTGTGAGAGCATGAGCCTGAAAAATCAGCCTGAGGCCTTGTGGCTGGAGCTCTTCATGCTAACAGCCAAGCCCTCCGATGACGAAGCTTCCCTTCCCAGAAGGCTGCTGCGCCAGAGGGGATTTCATCAGTTTCAGGCCCTGGGTTCGTCGCAACAGGCCCAGATGCAAAAGGCCCTAGGCTTTAACAAGGTTTATGCCAGGGATTCAGAAAGGTTTATGAGGGGTGTCGTAAGCGATCTACAAGATTTTATATGGTCCAGGGTTGCTGCAAGGGAGTTTCCGAAAACAGGGGACCCTAATACAGTACCCAAAATAGTAGGATCCTTATTATAAAGACCCCAATATAAGGCACGCCTAATTTTCGGAAACTCCCACAAGGTCTGCTACAAGGGGTTCGGATCAGGGTTCTTCAGGGTTTCGTGGAGCAAAGGGTTCATGCTTGGGCTTGGGGTCTAGGCCGGGTTCGGCGCTGGGTTTGAAGTCGGTTCAGTGTGCAGACTCCGCGAACAAAAGACTGGAGGACGTCTTGTGACAAGCGTCTTCTCAGGCTACATGGGGACTTATTCGTGGTACAGCTGCTACGTCCAGCTACTATCGTCGCACTACTTGGTTCGCTCATCCAATCGAGTATACACATACACAACTTGCAACGGCTACCTCAACTCAGCTTGGAGGGCATCCGGGATGATTGGGCACTGCATGTGACACCCTTGTAGACCTTGTAGTTTGGTAGTTCTGGTTCTCTTACTTCATTTTAGATAACCGTGCATGGCGAAATCGCTGTGTTCCGCGTCGCGGCTGACAGGTGACTGAGTCCGTGAGAGAGAGAGAGAGAGAGAGAGAGAGAGAGAGAGAGAGAGAGAGAGAGAGAGAGAGAGAGAGAGAGAGAGAGAGAGAGAGAGAGAGAGAGAGAGAGATAGAGAGAGAGAGAGAGAGGACTACATGTGTGGAGGGCCTGAAAGGATGACTGAAGTAAGACATATGGGTGGTTGTCAAAATTAGGGTCCCTTTTTGGGTCCAGATTATAATAAGCACCTAGTATCTAGGATACCCCCAAAAGGGACCTTAATTTTGACAACCACCCATATGCTGAGAGCCAAAGTAAGTCTCCGATCATCTCGTGTCTGTATTCGGGCCTCTTCTTCGGCATCTTTATTCCGGCCTGAATCTCCCATGTACTGCGCACCCAGAGACTCCAATATACCTTAATTAAGGAATATTCCTAAATTTGGTAGGATCACTAATATGATTTAAGGAATAGTCCTCAATTAGGGGATATTGGAGTCTCTGGGCAGGTTCCGCACGGTGCTGTTCCTGGATGTTTTTGGCGACGCAGCTTTCGACCCGACGGAGGCGGAGCATGCGGCGGTGCCCGGGCATGACTCAAGGTGTTGGGGTTTAGGGTTTAGGAGTCTAGGGCGGAGTTTAGGGGACTTGATGCAGAAAAAGGGTGAGAGAGAGAGAGAGAGAGAGAGAGAGAGCGAGAGGGTTTAGGAGTTTTTGGGTTCAGGGGTATTGAGTTGGACGCGCCTCGCATGCATCCTTTTGCTGTGAGCTGTTCGGAGAAAGCTCTCTCCCGTCATACGCATCGGCCTCAGTACGGGTTCAACAAAAAGGGGTTTACGGTTTAGGGCTTAAGCTTAAAGGTTTAGACGCCACTTCACCCTAAAGTCTCCAAGTCGCCTCATTGAAAGAGAGCGGGGAACCAGAGCAGAGAGCGGCTACTCTTGTGATCTTTGGTGACAAAGCATCACGGCGTTTCGGCTCCATGCTATCAGTAGTATGGTCGTTGTAGTTCTGGGACTTAGTGAGCACTCATGACACCGCCTCCGCTTCAACCCTGAACCTTGTTGGAAGCAACTGGGCTTTGTTAGATGAAGGTACCCTGAAGCTTTAACCCTAAATCTCAAGCCCCAAAACCCCAAAGTTTGCAACCCGAAACCCTGAAACCGCGTAACACCCTCTCAAACCTCGTAAACTCTTACTACTGCCCCGTAAGCCCCCTTTGGATTCAGGGCCCCTGCTGCCCCATTGAGGTGACAGCAGGCGTGGACGGGAAGATGGAGGAACTCCGCGACGATGCAACGAAGCGTGAGGTGACGGTGGATAGCCAAGGGCAGACGTTTGTATTCCGTTGAAAAGGGTTTTGTACGAGTTCTATTGAGCCCTGTGAGGTTTATAAGCTCCAAACTAAGGGCAGAACCCTCCTCGAACTCTTGTAGACCCTCTTTTCCCAGACTCCCCAGCAATGAATCCAAATCTCCGAGCGAAGAGCTAGCAACAACTGCTAGGGTGTCGGCTTGACGTAAACAGTGCCTTCAGCCAGGGGAAATCCCGTCAAAACCTTAAATCCTGTAATCCCTCTGAGCCTCCAGCCATCTAAACCTAAATCCCTCACACCTTTAAACCCTCGAAACCCTCTAGGCACTCTAACTACACCTTGCCCTAGACCCCTGAACCCTAAACCCCTAAACCCTAAACCTTGCTAGGTAGGAGGGAAAAGCCCCTAAACCTCCAAAAGGTGCAGCAGAGGCAGGCGGCCAAGGCTGGCTTCGCCCTCCAGGCGGCGCAGGGAGCGCCGCTTGGGTTCTTTGCAGAGCCCGTGGTGCTGTTGATGTGTTTTTTTGGTGGTTTTGGGTGTTGAGGGCTTATGGGGTTCTTGGGGTTTATGGGGTTTAGGTTTGAGGACTTCGGGCATTGAGGGTTTATGGGGTTTGTTAGGGTTTGAAAAGGCTTCTTGGTTTGGGTGTTTGGCAGGGACTTGTTTAAGGTTTCTTGCTTCGAAAAGGTTCCTTGTAGGGCTTGGCAGAGTCGAGCCCCAAGTGCGCAGCAGGCTTCTTTGCTTTCGAGGCTTTGCAGGGACTTTTCAATTTTGTGTGAAACCCTAAACCCTAAACCCTAAACCCTAAACCCTAAACCCTAAACCCTAAACCCTAAACCCTAAACCCTAAACCCTAAACCCTAAACCGTGTGATTATGGGCTTCGCCAGGGTCTCGGAGTGAGGATGCAAGGTTTAATGTTTGGGGCTCTTGCCTTAGCAAGAAGGCCCTCTAAGCCGCAAATTCTCCACGATCCCAAAGACCCGCAAAAAAGGTCAAACCTGCAGCAACAATACCAGAAACGCTAGAACCCACTGTAGCCCCATATAAACACTTCTGTCACTTCTCTCCGCATAAGGTCACTCCTAAAAAGCCCTTGCGCAATAAAATCAAAGCCACTTTCTTCCATTGGGAACTCGTCAAGCAAACATTTCACTTTGTTTTCAATGACAAGCCCCTACTACTCCCCCAAACCCTAAACCCCGAAGCCCACAAACCCCAAAACCCCAAACAGAAAACCCCAACACTCCAACCCGCCAAACCCTCAGCCCCTAAACCTCATCACTATGTGGAGCCTTGCCTGCCTTGTGCGAGAGTGAGCGTCGAAACCTCATCAAATAACCCAAACCCCCAACCCCCCTCAAAGCCTCACCGAAATGTAGGGCTTAGGGTTTAGGGCTTAGGGTGTAGGGCTTTGGGTTGAGGGCTTAGGGTTTAGGGCTTAGGGTAGGGTTCAGGGCTTAGGGTTTAGGGCCCGGTCGGCTGAGGCTTAGATGCTGGGAGGCCGTTCCACAGGAGCTCCTGACCGGCGTGCAGGCCGGTTCGGGTTTGCTTCGTGGCCCAAAGCCCAACTTTTCAACTTCTGGGTGAAATTTAGGAGCTCTGCTTTTCGGGGCAGGTTCCGAGACCGTCTATGCAGCGTGTTCGTGTCGTTTCGAAGCTTTGTGTAGACCCTGAATGTCACCTTGAAGCCGTGCCCGCGAAACTCCAAAACCCCAACTCAACCCGACAGGCCCTAAACCGTTACTAATACAGGGGCCTTAACTAGAAGAGGGCTTGGGGGTATATTATACTAGTATCAATATAATAAGGAAGCCCCAAACCTTATTCTAATGATTAAGGCCCCTACCTTAGATCTCCTAGTTGAGCTGTGTTCCCTTCCTTGACTGTGTAAAACCACCCAATACCAAAACGGGAGCCCTTCTTATTCCTGAGTTCCTGGGGCAGGGCCCGTCTAGGATTTTAGGGTTAGGGATTTAGGCGTTTGGGGTTCAGGGTTTTTAGGCTTCGGTCGGGCTAATCGTTAAGTCATCATTGCTGAACGAAGTTCTCGTTCACATAGAGTTGTGTGGATGAAAATGCGCACTTAGGAATTTTGGGTTCGTTCTTGTCCATGTAAGGGGAAAGTTAACACAGAAAAGAGGCGGCTGAGGCATCCAACATCCTCCAGCCATCACGTGGTCAGTAGCGGCAGGAACACTCTGTAGTGCAGAATCGCGCGGACCCGAAGCTCTGAACTCCCAAATGTTTAATGAGGCTCAGAGATAGAGTGTAAACAACCACCGAAGTAGTCTTGTGGGCCAGGCGTCGCAGCTCCAGAACCTCCGGCAGGACTCTGTTCGCTTTGTTAAGACTTTTTCATGGAGTTTGAATAGAGTTCTCACACGCTCTTGGTGTTTTCGGTTTCGTAGTTTGTTTTTCTTTTCGTAGCTTCTTCCTTGCTTTTCGAAGCTTTGTCGCGCACGACTTGCAAAACATGCAACCTCAGGCCCCAGATGTTGCAACAACCCTGGCGGCAGAAGGCTCAGTGTCAAAACCCCTCAACCCTTTGCCCGAAATCCTCAACCCTACAGTAAACCCCAAAATCACAAACCCCAAACCCAAGCCAGAGAGGAGTACAGCATGTGGAGGGAGCGCTACCACGGCTGCTACTCGAAGATGAAGTCTCGAAGGGGAGTGCCCTACGACTCGGCCCAGCAGGACGAACTGTGGTTTGGTCTAGGGGTTTAGGGTTCTCTACAGGTTGCAGAAAGGGTTCCATTTATTTTTAAATATTACAATTATTATAATATTTACTTTTCTTATTACTATTACTATTACTACATATATTATATCATGCTTACAGGGTTCTGTTAAGTTCAATTGGGGCTTTGGGTTCAGGATTCAGCCCTACACACGGGAACCCTTCGCATGTGTGGTGTTTTGTCGGGGTGATTCTGAAAAGCTCGGTTTAAGAAACTTAGGGTTTAGGGTTTAGGGTTTAGGGCTTAGGTGATTCTGAATAGCATGAGGCCTGGCAGACATGCCTCGTCTGGTTCGACACCCATACAAGAGAAGAGAGAAGCCCTAAGCCTGCAGGCTCAAGCACACACACGACGCAGAGTCTCCGCAACAAAACCTCTGGGCCCCAAACCATGGCCCAGAGACTTCAGAACACTTTCATTGAGGAGTGTTAGGCCCTGGGAAGCATACGAAGCATCCCTAGGAATACGCCTCGGACATCATACTAAGCATCCTTCTATGCTTCCATAGCGTAATGCGACCCCTGGTTCATAGTCCTCTACACGTTAGTACGGATGGCTCCAAAAAGGGATCCTCATCATTCTTGTTCAATTGAGAGGGCTTCGCAGTCCCTGGCTCTGTGGTTCCCTTGGCGCAGGACGCTCGAGCATTGCGCCGATGGGACGAGCTGACTCCCGCAGAACAGGAGGCAGACGAGTTCTACCAGGCTCTGACAAGATCGCAGGGTTCGGGGTTTAGGATTGAGGGATGTTCAGGGGTTGTGACTTTGGTTTATGGTGTAGGTTTCTGTTTCAGACAAACCCTCGGAACAACCAACATAGTAAATTTGCAAAAAACAGTACTTATGACTGCCACACCACCTGGAGGGTCGGGGACATAGCATGTAGCTGCTGTTTCGTCATGTGGAGTCGTACATATCATGAACTTGAACCCTGTCTAAGGGACTTATTACGGCTTTACAGGTACAGGGTGCTACACCTAAACCCGCAAACCTTAACCTGAACCCTAAAAGCCTAAACCCTAACCCCCAAAGCCTGAACCTTGACCCCTAAACCCTTAAGCCCTAAACCCTAAACCCCTTAAGCCCTAAACCCTACAGCCCTTAAAACCCTTCAACCCTCGACCCTGAACCCTAACCAAGCAGGCGCTGGTCGGACCTCTACAGCGGAGAGCCGATGCCTCACAGTCCCAGTACTACGATGTCGCTCGGCGGGGAGGCATTCATCAGGCCCAGGTGTAAAAACGCTCCAAGGTTTTGGGGTAGGGTTTAAGGGTTTAGTGTGTAGGGTTCGGGTTCAAGGTTTTGGGGCGCAAGGGTTTGAGGGTTTAGTGTTTAAGGTTCAAGGGTTTGAGGGTTTAGTGCTTGCGGTTTTCGGGTGTTTGCCGGCTCACAATCCAAGCCCCTGCTGTCAGACTTCTATGTGAAGGTCCCAGACTCGATCATTCTAGGCTCTTCGAATCGAATTCGGGAGTTTCCGCAATTGCTGGACCCATACAGACCCCAAAACAACGGCATCCTTGTTTCAAAACAAATGCCTTTAGGGTGGGCACGGAGTATCTCTGAATTTTCCGAATCCACGGGGTTTCAGATCCTAAACCCTTGTTCTGTTAGGGTTACCTTATCAGGGCTCCTTACTATACAGATGTGCTGCTGTGTAGGACGAGTCCCGCAGTAGGGATCCGCAGTTGCCGAATCCGAATTGCGGAGCTACTGTTGATGTCCCGTAGTATGGGACGTGAATCATAATTGATGCTATTCCTTACTTAGGGTTCCCCAATGTAGGTAAGGCACTGTATGTCCAGAGCCTTCTCTTTTTTTCTAAGGCACAAGTATAACCCTTGTGTCAGGCCTTATAGACAACCCTTATCTGAACTCCGCTATTCTGGTTATGACGGCCCCACATCATATATTTGTGCCCTATCGGTTTCCTTTCGTACCCCCCTTGGATCCCAATGCCCTAGAGCTTTAAGCGTGCCTGAAACCTTGCAGCAACTCAACAGCCTAAGCGCCACCCAAGAGCCCTAAACCCTAAACCCCTAAACCCTAAACCCCTAATGCCAAGTTGCGCGTGTCCCAAAAACATCCCGGAGCCCCCGCGCCCCGAAGTGGCTTTGACCGTTCGGAGCTCAGGTGTCGCGCGGATGCTCAGTGTGGACGGCACCCCCCGGGGTGACGATCCTCGGCTCCGTTGAAGAATTTTTTGGTTGAGGGTTCATCTGTGGGGATGGGAATGGCTGTAAAGTGCGGTTTACGGGTGGGGAGAAGTGCAGCCGGTTGCAGAATGGTTTGAGGATTTCGGTTATAGGGTCTTTTTGGTTGGGGGTTTAGGGTGTTTATCTTGGGCGTCAGGGTTTGAGGGTCCAGCCAGTTTAGGGATGAGGGTTTGATGCGTCCCCAAGCCCAGTTGCAAAAAGGGATGAGGGTTGAACGTCTTTTCGAAGGAAGGAACATTACAGTTTCGCTTGCTTACAAGTAGATCCTGCCCAACTTGCATCATCCCAATCTGCTCGGCTGCTGGTCATGTGTTTGCTCATCACTACGACTAGCAAGCACTCTTTGGCTGATTCTGAAGCATTCATTCATTAATACTGTGAGGGCCCTCATACCTAACCTCTCAGGACAGAGTCCTTCTAAACGCCCCAGCAATGCGCGCTAGGATCCTGGACATGCAGACGACCTCGCATCTTGACGGCACTCAGCGGAAGGGTTCCTCATGGTATTGGTCCCAGAGACTCCAGTATGCCTTGATGAAGGAATATTCCTTAAATCATTTTAGGGATCTTATTCTAAGTTAAGGAATATTCCTTAATTAAGTGATATTGGAGTCTCTGGGGTATGAATTTTTGCTGTGCACCTTGATGTCTCCATGGACCTTCCGGTCTCCATCCCATTCCTTATTGTGGTTTTGGCTGGAGTTACACCCCTACTTGGAGGGGCAGGGGACTTAGTAAGTAGGTTAGAAGTAGAGTTATGAGTACCTTAAGTGGAGTTACCCCAATTATAATCCTACTTATAAACGGCTTAAAGTACGTCCCCTGCCCCTCCAAGTAAAGCTTATGCACCCTACTTGGAGGATCAGGGGACTTAGTAAGTTAGGTTATAAGTACCTTAATTGGGGTCATAAGTAATTATAGGTACAGTTACCTTAATGATAACCCAATTAAGTTACTAAGTCCCATGATCCTTCAAGTAAGCCCGAGAACGGGGTGCTCCATGGCAGGGTTGCGGTTTTGAGTTCAGATAATAGGGCCGGGGATTTATAGTATAATCTGGTCTCCTTGTTGTGGTAACTTAGATTACTTCCCTCAGCAGGAACCTAGTTTTAGGATTTCTAGTTAAGCCTTCCAGTGTCTAGGGTTCGAGGGCGTGAGACTTGGCTTGTTTTGTATTTCATGGGTCAGAGGTAAAGGTGAAGGTATCTCGGGATGCGCAGGATTTGAAGCTGGGGAGGCTTGCTGTCAGAATGTAGTCCAGGGTCAGAATGATTTGCAACAGTAGCAGTATCCCCTTGTCGTCAGTCAATAAATACTGCATATCTGAAGCCACCATACGTTTCAGGAGCCACGTCTTGTTCTCCGCACACTTCTGAGGTACAGGGTGCAAGAGGCGGAGTACGATGTGCAGATGCTGTTGGACATCGAGCGTGGCGATCTGAAGTTAACAGACGAGAAGGACAAGACTGAGACTGCCAACGATTTGGGGTTTCGGGTTTAGGGTTTAGGGTTCCACAAGGGTGTTGGGTTCAGGATGGACCAGTGTTTGCGTGGGCATTGCACTTCCATGGGCTAATGCAAGTAAATAAACTGGGACCTGCATGCTTTAGTTCCCATGTTCCAATCGCACGTACCTTTCAGCTTTTTGGGGCGAAAAGAAGCAACCCCGAAGCATCCCAAAGGTCAACGAAACTTTGGTTCTCCTACTAGGAAACTTAAAACTGGACAGGTAAGACGACCTCCAAAATGAGGCCCTTAACCTACGTCCGACCGCCTGAGGAGAAACCTGGCCGCCCGTGTGCGTGAGAGTCGAAATCCGAGTGCACCTGAACGCTAGACCCTAAAAGCTGTGCCCTGAAGTCCTGATCTTGCTGTCCTGGTGGTGTAGAAGCTAGAAAGTTTGAGCGTCACCATTGCCCAACATCGGTCCCAGACAAGTAAGCCAGCATAGTATGGGGGCCTAAATTTTGGGGTTCCTTATCGTAGTTAATGTTTTCTGTAACCCAAAACCAGATTCCAATTATGAAGGCCCCTATATAAAACCCAGATCCTACGTCCTACGGTTGATGATATATAAAACCTGCATTACTTTAAGGACCCTGAACTATGGGAATAATGGTATATTCCTTATTACGGGTCGTGCAGGATTTAGATCCTCAGCCGTAGAACCTCCAGACCGCAAACCGTCGACTTTGGGGCGGCCCTTGGGCTTCTTCTTCTTCGGAGCGTTGAGGGTCCAGGGGACGCACGCCTAGCAAGAACATGAATTCTAGAATGTGCAAATCCCCAGTATGCGCTCACGATCTACTTAGTAGCGCGTGGTGCAGTAATCTGAGCGATCGCACATAACGGAGGAAGAACCACAAAGATTCAACTGGCAGCGCTGTGCGCAAAAGCCATCTCTGTGGAGCACATCCCCGTTCAAAACCAAAAGGGCTACGCCATGGGCCAGCAAAGCATCAGACGGTGGTGGCCAATCAGGCGCATCTTTCTTACGTGCTTTGTATTCCGCAATCGGCCATCAAAGCACTGGACAACGTACAATCCAAATTAAATGAATCGGCAACGGACCCAAGACGTGCAGGATCTTCCTCATGGGTATCGGATGAGGCAATCCCTACACAGTTAACATACCCAGGATGTCAAAACACCTTCGCCCTTGGGCTAACGTATTCCCAGAGACTCCAATATCCCTTAATTAAGGAATATTCCTTAGATCATATTTGGGATCCTATTATAGTTTAAGGAATATTCCTTAATTAAGGAATATTTCTTAGATCATATTTGGGATCCTATTATAATTTAAGGAATATTCCTTCATTAGGGGATATTGGAGTCTCTGGGGTCCAGGCAAGTGCCCCAGCTCCTCCCAGACTTCCGGGAGGATCTAGAAACCCCTATAGATCGCTTTAAAGGAACCCGTAAAGGAACCTTAGATATTCTTTAGTTAAGGGGTATGGGATTCTTTGGGTATATGACTATGGATCCAGAAAGTAGATCCCCTAATTTGGGGCGCTATACTACTAAGAGTACCTTACAGGAATCCCCCATGAAGGGATCTACTTTTTGGATCCTTTCGGGGGTCTGGGTGCCCGAGGATAAAAGGAAGAACCCTTAGTAAGGACCATAACCTAAACATAGCTATAAGTTATGTACACATTTTATAGCCCGTTCCCGTTATAGGGCAGGGATCCCCATGAACAGCCCAGACTGAAACCTCCACGGCACAAGGACAACGGACACGAATCGTGATCAGAATTGTCTCAAGAATATTTACGACTGCTATTCCTTGGGGTCCCTGAATATAATCATACCGTACTATGCCCCACAACCCTTTGCTACTCATGAAGGCGCGAATATATCAAACCCTCACCATATCTTTTATGACATCCCTTGTAGAGAACCCTCTAAAGGAACTTGGTTATAAACCCCCCTCTCTCAGGACGACCCTAAGCCTTGGACCTCAAAAATCTATGCGCTTACCTGAAAATCGTAAAGCCTAAACCGTACCGTCGAATCCGACATACGGTCCTTCTATCAGGACGACGGTCTTCAGACGCCCGCCGGGGTGTTCCGAAAGAAGAGGGCAGGTCATCACCGACTTCCATGGAAGTCGGTAGCCGGGCGGTGTTTTGGGGTTTGGGGTTCAGGGCTTCAGGTTCGGGTGTTAGAGTCCAAGGGCAAAAGGAGGGACCCTTAATAAGGAGCCCTAGGTATATACCCTTAATATAGCTAGTATATACCGATTATATAGCCCATTATAGGGTAGGGGTCCCCATTAGGGGTCCCTCCTTTTCCCCTTTGTTAAAGTGCACGCAGGGCTGCAGGGATGTAGGATCCAAGGAATTTCGAGGTTGGGCATGCAAATTGATGTGGGGACTGGTAGAGGTCCCTGGGTGCTTGAAGAGTACTGAGTGGGGGAACAGGGGTGAACATGTGGTGATCTCTCAACTTCATGTTGTATGGCGAACTTTCGTCCTGCGGTAGCGGGCAATTCGGGGCTTGCAGTCCAGCATTGCGGAAAGATAACGACATCCACTGCGTACTCCGTTCAGTGTTGCTAACGAATGCGACGAAACTTTAGTACCGGGCATGCATTGCCGTGACCCTTTTTTTCAGCAAATGACACTGCCTCACCGCGACCTTAAAGCCACAGGTCCTGGCTTGGTTGGGAGGATCAGCCATGATTCCAGAATCACCACCGGGCCGAAAGTTTCGACATGCAGCTATTATAACATAGATGTATGCCGCGGAGAGGCGGAGAGCCCCAAGACCCATTTTACGTGGCCAGCGTGGCGGAGTAAGTACTTTCCGGGAATAAATCTATACTATTATATAGTTTCCGGCGGAGAGCTTTGCGGGGTTGTGCTAGGATTCTACGGGGGAACAGGGGTGAACATGTGGTGATCTCTCAACTTCATGTTGTATGGCGAACTTTCGTCCTGCTGTAGCGGGCAATTCGGGGCTTCTTTGGGTTTGTCAGGGAGGTCTCTGAAAAGCGAGCTGGCAAGATTTAGGGTTTAGGGTTTGGGGTGTAGGGTTTAGGGTCCCCTGAAACCCTGACCCGAGACCCTAAACCCTAGACCCTAGTCCTTAAACCCTAGACCACAACCCCCAAGCGCAAAAGCCCAGACCCTAATATAGGTGCGTTATGAATTCGAACAGGGCTTGGGGCCCCTTACTTATAGACCCTCATAATGACTCATACTTGAAGGATCATGGGACTTAGTAAGTAGGGTTATAATTAAGGTAACTTTACTTAGAATGACTTATAACCCCCAATTAAGGTACTTATAACCTAACTTACTAAGTCCCCTGATCCTCCAAGTAAGAACCCTTTTGAGGCACACAGACCCTAAGCCCTCAAGCCGGAATCCTACCGAAGAGAACCCTCAGCACTGAAACCCGAAACCCTAAATCCAAAGCTCCCTAAACCTTAAACCTCTAAGCCCCTAAACCCTCAAACCCTAAACGTTACACCTTAAACCTCTAAGCCCCTAAACCCTAAAACCCCAAGCCCTAAGCCTTAAATCCCCAAGCCCCTAAACCCTAAAACCCTAAAGCCCTAAACCCAAAAGAGCCACCCGGTGAAAACCGAAGGTCCGCCGGATGACCGCCGTCATCCAAGTTTGCTGGATCTTCCTGGGCACCCAGACCTTGCCGCTGGGGATGGGTTTAGCGCATGTTTTTTCTATCCAAGTTTGCCCTTGGATAGGGTTTTTCGGGTTCCGGGCTGCAGGGGTTTCTTTTCATGGCCGGGCCTCAGGGCTTTCAGTGCTTTCCATTCAGGCGTTGAAGAATGCTCTTCTTCTTTCTCAGGGTTTAGGGATTAGGGTTTAGGGTTTAGGGTTTTAGGGTTTAGGGTTTAGGACCTGCTTGATGCTTTACCACCCTCGTAAGCCTGCACAGGGCCACTCATCACAAAGCGCAAGGTCCAATCCTTTGGAGGTTCATGAGCAGTAGTAGACCTAGTAGGCGCACACATACCGTACTGACTCAAAACAGTTTAGCTCAAGCCCTAACTCAAAATACGCAGACCGTAAACCCGTTGAAACCCTACAGCCTTGCTCTACAAAAGTCCACCATGCCTTAACTAACACTGACTGGACCTTAAACCCTCAACCCTGAACCTTATGCTTGCATAGCCCGCTCGTAGTTACCTTCAGACGTCTTGTACACAAACTGTCCTCGGCTGGGCAGCGACTGGAACATTTCTGTGGGTTTTGTTTTGTATTTATGAAGGGGCCTAAATAATTGCCAATACTAGTTTGGGTGTTCCTTCGTCTAACTAGAGTATAATGGGCCCCAAAGCCCTATTCTAATTATTAAGGCCCCTATAATAGTTCATGCGCTTCAACTCCGAAGCCTTGCTTAGTCTTTCCGTGTCTGCACAGCTGGGCTGCCTGAGAACACCTTCTCTTCTAGTAGGTCGAACGCGAAAACCGTATACTAGAAGCAGAATAATTAGTTGAAGCCGACACCGGCCTCGACCCTCTATACGCCCAAAGTCAATTTTACAGAATCCATTCCTTAAGCCCAAAATCAATGCAGGCATCGTCCTTGTTAGGCGGGCTGCAAGAAACCACCTTCCTATCCTTGAAGCCTGTGGTGCCTCTCTTAAATCCCCTAAATTCTAGAACCCCCATGCCCTAAACCTTTAAAGCCCTTCAATCCCTAAACCCAAAACCCCGTCCCTAAGCCCCACACCCACCTTAAACCTTAAACGCCCTCAAAAGCCAAACCCCGAAACATCCTAAACCCTCAACGCTATAAGCCTTAACTATAGCTTCCTTCGTTTTTTTTTAAATACATTTTTATTTTTGTTCCTATAAATCCCAAGAGAAGTCTAAAAACAATGTTGTTTTTATTATGGTTCTAAGGCTAAGGGGGGTATAGCGAAACTCAGCAAAGGCTCAGCAACTTTGACTGGTGGTTTCCATCCTGGAGGCGCGGCAGTGTGGTCTCTGGGAAAGCCCTAGAGCCCTACACCCTCCCTTCTCGGTTTAGGGTTTAGGGTTTTAGGGTTTTGGGGTTTAGGGTTTGGGGGTTTGGGCTCTAGGAATTAGGGTTTTGGGCTTGGGGTTTAGGGTTTAAGGTTTAGCACAGTCGGCGCCTCTAGTTCAGGTGTAACAAGGTTTAGCGCGAAGCTGCCGGCACACACTGCAAGTCCGTGCTTAAAAAAGCGTTTCGGGTGCTCTACACCGTCCCTTTTGGGGAGATTTTCGTCATCGCAGGAATTGGTGGACGTCGAACCGAGCAGTCCGACGTCTCAGCGCCAGTGACCAGGAATGGCTCGCAGCTGAGCAGAGATTACATACTCTTGAAGCCTTTCTGGGTTACAGGTGTAAATTTCGGTCTCCTTCAAGTAGTCTTGGAGATCCGGAAGACTTTTTGGTTGAGGGTCTACAGTTCAGGATTCTTGCAAGATCAATGCTTTGAAGACTCGCTTGGTTCAGCTTTTGGGCTCTTTGCGTTCTTGCCCGTCAACGCTCATAAACCCGGCGGATCCTGGCGCTTGTCTGAGGAAAGCTTTGAGCCACTTTCGGTCAACTGGCCTCATGGCTCCTTCTTTGACCCGTCCTTCCTCTCCTGTGTGGAGACGAGTCATGGAAGCCAGCCTCACGTCTTCATCGGGAATTCCTACCGGCAGTTTGCATTGACTCCGAAGAACGAGAGCTCTGCCTCTATCTCCCTGAGCCCCATTTCCCTCCAGAGCCTGCCTGCTGGAGCGACGGTACTTCACTGCGCACTGGAAAGCTGCACTGTGGCGAAGCTGGAGGAGGATGGTACCCTGGAGCTGCAAAAAGGGGGAGTTTCCGAAAACTAGGGGTACCTCATTATAGGGTCCTTATAACAGGGATCCTACCATTTAGGGTACTACATTAGGGTCCCCTATTTTCGGAAACTCCCATATCGGAATCTCTTTCTTTGTTGTTGCCTCGTTTAGTCTCAGGTCTCATACCGATTTACAGATTGGGCCTTGGCCTGGGATAAAGCTGATAAATCCTACGTAGCCATACCAGGGAAAGGTTGTGACCTTCTTCAGCCACGAATCTGGACTGGAATCCGAAAACAAGTCCCCTCATCAATCGTAGGAACGAAACCCTATGCCCTAAACCCTAGATCTGCATCTGAATCAGCCCCAAACCCATCAGCAAGTCCCATGATCCATCCCGCAGAGGTACAGCCCCACGACCATGGACTCCAGAAATTACGCGTTAAGAGAACCTTAGACCCATCATATGCTGGTCCCATCATCCCGAAACCATCAGTAAACCAAAAAGCAAGTCCCATGGTCTTTCCAGCAAAGGTACCAGTTTCGCTCTCTGGCACACCAAGCCGAGGGAGTCTTCTCAGCTGCCTTCCGAGCCCTCCGGCTCTTAAGAAACGGTTCCTTAAAGCCTTTCTTTTGTGTAAGGGTTCCTCCAGGCTTTTCTTCCTGATAGTTCCTAATACAATTTCGCATAGCATCCCCCCAGCACCCTATTCTAATCGTTACGGCTAAAACCCTAAGCCCTAAAACCCTAAACCCCAAAACCCCAGACCCTAAACCGTCGGAACCTTAGATCCCCCAGACCCTAAAACCCTAAACTTCTAACCTTATCCCTAAAACCCTAAACCCTAAAACCCTAGACCTTGAACCCTAAACCCTAAAACTCTAAGCCCCTAAACCCTGAACCCTAGACTCGTAAGGCCCCTTGTTTTCGCTCCGGCCCAGGCCGGATCTCCGATTTCGGATACAAGGGTCGCCCTGGCGAAAGCTTTCGGGCGCACGGGTGACTGGGGCTCTTCTTAAGGGGTTTAGCATTTATCTTAAGTTCTACCACAATTGGGATCTATAAGGGTTCCTTTAAGGGTTTAGGGTTTAGGGTTTAATATTTAACTTAAGTTCTACCATAATTGGGATCTATAAGGGTTCCTTTAAGTGTTTAGGGTTCAAGGAGTTCTACCACAATAGGGATCTGTAAGGGTTCCTTTAAGGGTTAAGGGTTTAGGGTTCTTAAATTGGGCTTTTGGATTTCGGGATTTAGCTTAATCGGGTCCGAAGGGAATGCGCATCAGCTGGAGCTGCACTCTAGGTTCCTTTACAAGGAATAGGGTTTAGGGTTTAGGAGAATTTAGCTTAGGTGACCATAACCTGGATTTATAAAGGGTTCCTTTAAGGGACCTATAAGGGTTGGGACGTAACTTAAGTTACCA